CTGCCCACCCCTTCCCGGCGGGAAGCCCCGAGCCGTCTTCCTGGACACTCCGGCTCTCTGGTTGCAGCTGTCTCGGTGCTCCTGGGGGCTGCTCTGGTTTTGGGGCCCCGTGGTGATGGCTTAGTCACGTGGCACGTAGGAAGGGATCTGCCAGCCCAGAAGAGGGTTGCATCCCGGTCTCTGACCAGCCCAGTCCCTCTGGGGTGCGTCCTTGTGGTCTGGCCGCCCTGGGGTCAACCAGCTCTCTCTCTGCAGCTGTGCCATGACCGAGGCTACCTCGTGACCCAGGATGAGTTGGACCAGACGCTGGAGGAGTTCAAAGCCCAGTTCGGGGACAAGCCGAGTGAGGGGCGGCCACGACGCACGGACCTCACCGTGCTGGTGGCCCACAATGACGACCCCACGGACCAGATGTTTGTCTTCTTCCCAGGTGGGGGTGCCTCCAGTGCATGTCTGCACGGGCCCAGGTTCTGGGACAGCGCTGTCCTGTGCAGACCTGTCCCATCTGACATAGCTCAGTCCCTGTCCCTTGCCGTCTTCTCCAACCCAGAGTATCCCGCTGGCCTCTCCGCTGGGCTCCTAGCCCAGCGACCTCAGCTCCACCTGACCGGTCGGGGATCCCTTCTAGAACTGTGGTCCACTCCAGCCTGCCCGCCTCCTGTACCGGCCCAGTCCATCCCCAGGACCTCTGCACCCCATCTTAGCACTCGCTTCCAGGCCGCTGCCGGGCTCTCCCAGGGCACTTGAGCCCTCCAGGCTGGGACTGTGCTGTCCCAGGGGACCTCAGGGACCTGGGAAGGACATGTCCTGTGGACCCCTCCTGGGACATGCTTTCTTTTTTTGGGGGGGGGGTTTTTTTTTTGACTATAGGGCGTGTACGCTCACCAGAAAGACAGAGACAGAAAGTTAGAAATCACCCCCCCCCAGGGGATGGCCACGCCTCAATCCCTTCTCCATTCTCCTGTCGGGATCTTGGGCACGCATGCACACGCACCCAGCCTGAGTTTAAGCCACCAGGTCCGGGACTTAGCCTGCCTTGGACTACATGGGGGTCCAGCGACATAGCCATTACGCCAACTGCTGTTCCCGTGCCAGGGTGTGCTTTCTAACAAGCCTCCTATGACTCCAGCTTGCTGGGGCTTGGAGCTTCCCGGAGGCCTTTCCTGCCTTCCCAGCACCTGCGTAGTGACCAGGGGCCTCTCGGGGTTGGAGAGGCCTTTCCTGGCCTCGTCCCTGCCCCTGCGATGCTATGGGGGAGGAGTGAGGGTCCTGTTGTCAGCTCAGGTGGGGCTCGAGCGGCACCGATGGGTCTTCGCAGTCCAGAAGGCTGGGAGCTGAGGTCCAGGCATGGCCTTGTACACAGCTGCTCCCTGCAGGTCGGCACGCACTGTCACCCTCTCTGGGGAAGACCCTGGGCTCTCCCTGGTGACCTTTGACTTCTGCCCCTCTCAGGGGTCTCATCTGTAAACATGGTGTTCCGAGGTCCTGGGTGGGGGGACACGACCCCCAAACAGCCCAGCCAGTGTGGGCCCGTGCCGACTGCTGGTCCTGCCCAGTCGCTGGCTGCCCTGGCTCTCGCAGTTCCCAGGCCCACGTGCATTTGGGCATGCAGGACCCACCACCTGGCATGCCCTTGGGCGCCTCAGCTAAAGGAGCCCTCAGCCCCGTGTGCCCGGACCTGCCCCGGTCTGGACCCCCAAACGCCAGAGGACTGTGGCCAGTCCCGTGGGGCACAGGTGCGGCCCTCCGTTCCCCGGTGGCACCATGCCGCCGTGGTTCTGCGACCTGCGACTCAGATGAACACCCTGGGGCCCCAGAGTCCTGGCTTGAGCCCGGTTGGGGGGGCAGCGAGGCCAGCGCCGCTCTGTCCACAGAGGAGCCCAAGGTGGGCATCAAGACCATCAAGGTGTACTGCCAGCGCATGCAGGAGGAGAACATCACCCGCGCCCTCATCGTGGTGCAGCAGGGCATGACGCCCTCGGCCAAGCAGGTGGGCCACTGGGCGGGCCTGTGCAGTGGGCGGGCCCCTGGCGCTTCCCCAGGCCTGGTTTCAGTGCTGTCCTGCAGGACAGGGATGGGGCGTCGTATGGGGAGACAGGCGGCATGGCTCTCCTTTGCCGGCCAGATCCCCACACTCAGGCGGTCAGCTGAGCCGGGCTGGTCCCTGCAGTGGGCCTCCCGTGGCTCCTTTACGGAGATGCCATGGCCCTTCTGAGGATGCCCAAGGCCTCGGGGGGCTCTCGGGAGGCCCAGGGCAGGTCTGTGCTGATTCCCGGGGCTGCCCTGCTGGGGTAGAGATGGGGTGGGCGGGGCGCCTGACACCTGTGTCTCTGCAGTCCCTGGTCGACATGGCCCCCAAGTATATCCTGGAGCAGTTCCTGCAGCAAGAGCTGCTCATCAACATCACGGAGCACGAGGTGGGCGGGGCGCAGCCTTCCCGTGAGGGGTGCTGTGGGCGGGGCACAGCCTTCCCGCGAGGGGCAGGGCAGGGAGCTGGAGGTGGGCGGGGCCACCGCACCTTTTCAGCTCTGGGCTGTCTGCAGAGCAGAGCAGGCGGGTTCCCTGTATGGCAGGTCCTCAGGCTACAGGGTCAGGACTGGGGTCCAGAAAGTCTTAGGGAGGTGACTGCAGGCCGGCTTGCTCCAGTCCATGGGGGGGGTAGTGGGGGGTGGGGGCTGTAGGGGCCT